TAGAATAGATAATAAATTTTGTGTGTATTTCGTACTCGGATGACCCATCCTCAAGATACGTACATATTTAATGATAAATCTCTCGTAATAAATTTGCTTATGAATCCTAAAAATCATAAAACCTTCCTGATGAATTTTTCCAGATGTTCTTCGAGGACAACATCGATGATGCTAAATACTGTGGCCATTTATACGGCTTGGGCACCTCGTTCGTGGTGAATGGCTCTGGAGGATATCTCGACAGCAACGGCGACAACTCATCCTCCTCGTAATGATCGAAAAATAGAGTAGAACCTCTCAAATTGATTAGTGAACAACAATTTTACATTGAGGAAAAATACGAGAGACACCACATTTCACACTGATAGAGCATCAATTGTGATTCTCCCCTCTTTCTACGTTTTCATTACAAAAGACAGATGAAAACCCCACGAAATACGGATTCACAGTTGAATAAAACGAAATAATTGGATTTTCCCCTTAAGGGAAGTGTTTTTGAAAAAAGTGTATTTATAGAATGGCTTTTTTGGTAACAAAAAAAATTGATAAAAAAAGATGCGTAAAAATGATAAACTGTTCTTGATGTTTCGTATTCGAAAGTGACTTTCCTCTAATTTGTGAAACTAATTTACTACATTCTATTTTTATTCAAACAATCGTAATTCAGCATTTAGAGCATTATGTCTTGGACTTTCCGATAGTTTTCGGTTGAGTATTTATTCAAATTAATTTTGATTAAAATCAAATTAATTACACGTTTCACACATTCAGTAAGGTAGAAACTATTGTACAACTGCCATGTTGAATTGGTTCATGAAAAAAGAAGGGAAAAAATATATATGTATAAATGATAATTTACGTGATTTATTTTATACGGTGTAAAGTTCAGTGAATGAATTAATAAAAAAAAACAATTATCATTCAGTACTTTTGACACGAATAAACCATAGGGGAATAGAAATGATGAGTTACTTCAATTCTTGGCATTTTTGTTAATTGGGGTTTGTATGGGACATCCCATGGCAAATCAGTTGCCATGGGAATTAATCCCACTTTAAAATTGTGCAGAAAAATTATGTATTATGATCGGAAAGAAGAAAAACAAGTGCACAATTGCATTTTTTAAATAAATGAGTACAGTAATTGTTGCTAATCAATTAGCAATTTGAAATTTTTTTGAAATTTTTGTTTCACTATTCTTTTCTTCTATTTTTTCATGTCATAGTTCTATCATCAACGGAAATACCATCAACATTTTGTGAATAATTTCGTTGTGTCAAATAATTCTAGACTCGAATTCGTTTTCAGTCCAGGTTAAATCAAGGTTTAATTTAGCTAGAGTTGAACCCCAGTTTTGTCAGAAGTTAGTGGAGACCATGAATCAATATGAATAAATATTTAGAATTTAGTATTTATTTATAAGTATAGAGATTTTTTGGATATAAAAAGGACATGACGGTATGGTGTAACATGACAAGCAATGATGGTGTTCTTACTATTTATCAAGTGGATTAAGGTGTTTCGTTCGAAAAAGTTAAATAACATTCATTTGGAATTCACATATAATGTTTATAACCACAATTGATTTATCTATGAATTTTCCTAGAATTTTTTCATATTTTCTTTTAAAGTTATTGATGATCGAAGTCGCTTCTTATGCATGGACTCGTATGGAGATGTTTCTGTTTAGCAAGAAACTATATTATTAGCTTAAATGATGTATAAGAAGCGACTTCAATCGTTAATAACTTGAAAAGGAAATCTGCAAAAATTCTAGGAAAATTCATAGATAATTCAATTGTGATTACAAAAATTCTATATGAGTTCCAGATGAATGTCATTATTTACTTTTTTCGAACGAAATACCTTAAGAAGGCATTGAAAAATGTTTTTCAAGCTCTAATTTAATTGCAATTACTCACGATTTTTTCAGTAATCATGAACAAGCAGTGGTTCGAGTCTATCCGACTAAAGACATGTGACCGTTACTTTTTGCGTCATTAGTCTCTTTTTTTTATTTCTACCAATTCCATTGGTAGTAAGCTTCCGAATGGATCTGTAGTAATTCCCTATCCTTGTGATAGCCATACAACCGGGGCCACATGCTACAGGGTGTCTGCTGGAAAATATTCAAACTTTTAATGAAATAGATTTGTAAAAAAAGTTGAATATCTCTGAAGCTTCTCGGCCGATTGCGTCTATCCAAAATACCAATCTTCAGTATTGTAAAAGGTAGAATCATGACAAATTTCAACTTGCTTCTTCATTTTTTCTCAAGATGAAAACATTGAAAAACGAACAAATGACAATGTCTTAAAAATTTAGTATCTCTCTATACTATGAAAATCCAAATCGACTTCTGGCGATAAAAATTTAGTACTCAAAATTAAGACTCTGAAATTGAGGGTCACATGGTCATGAGAATCAGAACAAGGGTCACGAGGATCAGATTAAGGGTTAGAGGGTCAGATTAAGGGTCTAAATAAGTGTCACAAGGATCAGATTAAGGGTTACGAGGGTCAGAGTAAGGGTCCAAATAAGGGTCACGTGGGTTATAATGAGGGGTAGATTAAGGATTACAACAGTCGGATTAAGGGTCCAAATAAGGGTCAAAAGGGTCCAACTAAATGGGAGTCACAAGGTTCAAAATAAGGGTCTCAATATCTCTCTATATTGGAAAAATCCAAATCGATTTTTGGTGATGAAAATTTGGTGCTCGAAATTAAGACTCCAAAATTAAGGGTGCTCGGGTTCGTCTCGGTCTGCAAGAATTTTCAGGGAAATCTGAAACATTCGCGTAGAATTTTTAGTGAAATCTGAAATTTCATAATTTTGTTCCCTCTAAATCGCATTCAGTGTCACTGTCCTAAAAATTCCAGCACATATTTACCTTAATTTTCTGGCTGTCTATTTATTTTCAGGGAAAACTGCAACTGAAATTGACGGTTCTTTTTGATTTTTCCACGAAATTCTGAATTTTCAGTGACAAAATTCCTTGAAATTTCAGTGATAATTAAATTTGATAAAAATTTCCAAAAAGTGTACCGGAAATTTCAGTTAAATTTTTTTTAAAGTGTACGGCCGGAATGACAACAAATATTTCTTATTGTTCACTGAAATTGTTCCATATTGACAAGGAAATGTGGTGCAAAAATTGGTGTCAATTATTCAATGTCAATACTCCTAATCAATGGCAATTGTATAAGAATGGAGAATTGTATTATATTGGCAATGAAAACGATGAATCGTTTGATCGATCAATCGTGTTGATATGTGCGCGGAGTGCGCATTCGATCTCGTAAAGAGAAACATGAGAAAAGTTATAGCTGAGAAAGCTTCCTACAACAAAGTTAATCGATACTTTCTCCCAAAATGCTTTATTATCAGAACAGTATCATGATTAACTGATAATTAATAATAAGGAGAAATGTGTACACAGACTATTGTTTTTGATTCTTTCTATTTCCGTTACATTATCAGATAAAATGTGAGGAACTAAACAGTTCTCGATACACTTGAAAATATATTACTCACCCTCGTAGGCAGAAAATGAGGAGATAAGATTTGCTATCATTCGATCTTTTCATCATATATAAAAGGTAGGAATCATCAGTCGCCATACCTGAGTTGTGGACTTTCGTTTCAATATCATTTCCCTGATAATTATTCGACAAATATACGTGACGAAAACGAAGAGTTTAGCCATTGGTCCAGCCAGAGGGACCACTTTAATTTCAATTCTCTTAATTTCTGGCTTGATCAATTCAGTGTTTGCACAATTGGAGCTTCAAAATCCCCATGAGGCACTGGATACAGAATTCAAGGAGTTAGCAGAGTTATTAAAACTCTTCAAAATTCTTCAGTATGAAGAAAAGGACAGTGAAAGAAGAATACAAGGGAGTATTGAGTCACCAGAGATAGCGCTTGAAGCGATGGATTCAGAAGACGTGAATTCCGAAGATTACGAAGACGATGGGTTCGAGGAGGACGATGATATCATTGAAGAAGGTCCTGTGGTTTTCGAATCGAAATTTCCTGAGCCAATTGGTAAAGACAGAAATACAAAACAGAAAGAGGAAGTAGACAAAGGAGATTCACTACTGGAAAAGATAAGCGACTTCCCAGAGACATTGCCTGATGCAATAGATTTGGAGGAAGATAATTCAGAGAATTACAACGGTGATGATGTTGACGAGGACGATGACATTGTTGAAGAAAGTTCAATAGTTTTCAAATCGAAAGCTCCTAAGCAAATTGGTGAGGATAGAAATAAGAACCAGAAGAAAGAAACAAAGGAAGAAGATTCAGTATTAAAAGATAAGACCCTTTTACCAGAGACACGACAGGAATTCAAGGATTTAAAGGAAAATATTCTTCACGATTCCGCTCATGACCGCAGTCATGATGTGGAGGAATATGATGACGTCGTTGAAGAAAGTCCTATCGTTTTCGAATCGAAATTTTCTGGCCCAATCGCTAATGACAGAAATACAAAACAGAGAGAGGAAGCAGGAAAAGGAGCTTCAGTTCTGGAAGAGATAAGCGACTTACCAGGGAGAATCCCTAAAGTAATGGATATGGAGGAAGATAATTCAGAGAATTACAACGATGGTGATGTCGACGAGGACGATGACATCATTGAAGAAAGTCCAATAGTTTTCAAATCGAAAGTTCTTGAGCCAATTGGTGAGGATAGAAATAAAAACCAGAAGAAAGAAGCAAAGGAAGAAGATTCAGTATTGAAAGATAAGACCGTTTTACCAGAGACACGACAGGAATTCACGGATTTAAAGGAAAATATTCTTCACGATTCCGCTCATGACCGCAGTCATGACGTGGAGGAGTATGATGACGTCATTGAAGAAAGTCCTATCGTTTTTGAATCGAAATTTTCTGACCCAATCGCTAATGACAGAAATACAAAACAGAGAGAGGAAGCAGAAAAAGGAGCTTCAGTTCTGGATGAGATAAGCGACTTACCAGGGAGAATCCCTAAAGTAATGGATATGGAAGAAGATAATTCAGAGAATTACAATGATGGTGATGTCGACGAGGACGATGACATCATTGAAGAAAGTCCAATAGTTTTCAAATCGAAAGTTCTTGAGCCAATTGGTGAGGATAGAAATAAAAACCAGAAGAAAGAAGCAAAGGAAGAAGATTCAGTATTGAAAGATAAGACCGTTTTACCAGAGGCACGACAGGAATTCACGGATTTAAAGGAAAATATTCTTCACGATTTCGCTCATGACCGCAGTCATGACGTGCAGGGGTATGATGACGTCGTTGAAGAAAGTCTTCTCGTTTTCGAATCGAAATTTTCTGGACCAATCCGTAATGACAAATATAAAACAGAAAGAGGAAGCAGAAAAGGGAGCTTCAGTTCTGGAAGAGATAAGCGACTTACCAGGGACAATCCCTGAAGTAATGGATTTGGAGGAAGATAATTCAGAGAATTACAACGATGATGATGTCGACGAGGACGATGACATCATTGAAGAAAGTCCAATAGGTTTCAAATCGATAGTTCTTGAGCCAATTGGTGAGGATAGAAATAAGAACCAGAAGAAAGAAGCAAAGGAAGAAGATTCAGTATTGAAAGATAAGACCGTTTTACCAGAGGCACGACAGGAATTCACGGATTTAAAGGAAAATATTCTTCACGATTTCGCTCATGACCGCAGTCATGACGTGCAGGGGTATGATGACGTCGTTGAAGAAAGTCTTCTCGTTTTCGAATCGAAATTTTCTGGACCAATCCGTAATGACAAATATAAAACAGAAAGAGGAAGCAGAAAAGGGAGCTTCAGTTCTGGAAGAGATAAGCGACTTACCAGGGACAATCCCTGAAGTAATGAATTTGGAGGAAGATAATTCAGAGAATTACAACGATGGTGATGTTGACGAGAACGGTGACATCATTGAAGAAAGTCCAATAGTTTTCAAATCTAAAGTTCTTGAGCCAATTGGTGAGGATAGAAATAAGAAGCAGAAGAAAGAAACAAAGGAAGAAGATTCAGTATTGAAAGATAAGACCGTTTTACCAGAGACACGACGAAAATTCACGGATTTAAAGGAAAATATTCTTCACGATTCCGCTCATGACCGCAGTCATGACGTGGAGGAGTATGATGACGTCGTTGAAGAAAGTCCTATCGTTTTCGAATCGAAATTTTCTGGCCCAATCGCTAATGACAGAAATACAAAACAGAAAGAGGAAGCAGGAAAGGGAGCTTCAGTTCTGGAAGAGATAAGCGACTTACCAGGGACAATCCCTGATGTAATGCATTTGGAGAAAGATACTTTTGAGGATTACGATGATGATGACAGTGATGGAATTGAGGATGGTAACATTGCTAAAGAAAGTCCTGCATTTTCCAAATCAAGAGTTCTCCGGGCAATTGGTGAAGAGAAAAATGAAAAACAAGGGACATATCGTGAGTACTTCATATTCTTCGTTATCAATAATGAAATCATTGTTTATTGGGAGCTGACGGAACAGGGCAATTACGTTAAAACAACAGTTCATTCCTAATCCATCATTTTTATGAAATTCCGCGATATTTAGGGAAAATATTGATTCCATTCAACCAACTGAGAAATCTCCGAAAAAATAGTAAAAAATTCTGATGAATATTAACATTTAAGGCAATGTTGCGTATTTGCCCTTTTCCTCCCTCTCAACCAACGTCATGTACACTGAGAGAAAAACAAACACGTTGTCAAACAAGTCTTGTTTGGGCCAACAAAATCGCTAGTTGAAAATTGCCAAAAAAGAATTTGTTTGGTTCGAATTTGAAAGTCTCAAACATTTATAATTGCTCTGCTTTCGAAAGCAACGAAATATTTGGCTCAAGAGGCAGATAATTCACACCAGACGGTGCCTTTTCAGGATGAAAATATCTCATATAGAGGAAAATTGATCAACAAATATTTTATCCCTCAGTTACAAGATTGCTGTCATATCATTATTATTGTTTCATTTAAGGGTTCATTTCTTGTCTGTGATTATTAGACAGTCGAAACAAAAAACTACTATCCTACTAATCCTTGTTTCGCATAAAACAAAGATTTTTCGGGAGCAAAATACGTATAGGAGTATCGAATAACGAAGGAGTAGTGCTAGAAATGACAATTGTTGCGTGTACAGAGAATGCAATTTTTTTTGAACTACTAAATCTATTTTTGCGACACAAATTTTTCATTCCGGCGCACTCTCTGCATGTTTGACACAAACAAATCCTTTTTTGATAATTTTCAAAAAACTATTTTCTTGGCACAAGTAAGAGTTGTTTGAGAACTTTGTCGTTTTTCTCTCAGTGTACGATCGTCTCTTTCTCGATATTCTTTTATCTTCGTTTCTAGTCCGGGGACGCGTCATTCCTTTTTGTATCTCTTTTTTGCCCCAAAATTTTTAATAAACAGTTATTTATTTATTAAATGTACCGTTTCTTCACAATAATATACATTTGAGTCCTCAAAAAATGAAATTTATGTGTAAATTAGGTAAAAGTGTCTGAAACTTCTAGGGGAATTGAAATGGGAAACAAGTGTTCGAAAATCTCGCGACTTTCAGGATGAAAAGGTCTATTGAGCTGCTTCGACAGTAGACCGACACCCGGGAAAACAAAAACAGATTTCCAAATTCTCATTCCGGAAAAAGATGAGAGAAAAACGCACCAACCCTTGTGAATTTTTTCGAATTTTTAAAACAAATCTAGAGGTTTGCGCGACTAGTTTGAAGTTTAACTAACATATCTGACCCACTGGCAGTCAGCGGTCATAAATGATGGGTAGAAGTTAATTTTTCTGAACGACCGCATAGGCTCAGGTAGTGACAATGGCCGTCGACCGTCCTAGTGCGTCGTCCAGGTAAAACGTACTAAGTTGTATAGCGTCATCTTTGCTGCTCCCAGAGCGAGCGCTTGCTGTGAGCAACAGAGAGTGTACTATACAAGTCCCTGTAGGTAAGACGAAGACGCTTTCAGTGGCACATTCTGGGTAGAGCGCATCGATAGATAAATGTTAATAACTCCACGGGCATGAGTCGTAGAAAGATGAAACAAAAAAAACATTTTTCGTGGAATTGCCTAATTTTTTCACGATCTATGTCTCGATAACTTCTTCATAGTTTTTGAGACATTGTGATTTCCAGTAGCTCGTTGAGAAGCTATTTGTTAATTAACAAGGAGATCTTCGTGCCTATCAGTCACATTTAATTTATAGGAGTGAATCCCTCAATTCTGTGTATGAAGAATTGCCTCCAAATTTTAGGAATTTTTTTTCCCAAGGGCGAAATTTACTATTTTTCAAATTTCAATTACGAGCCATTATGAACAACAACAAAAATTTTCATCCCATAAATTTCATCAGAAATTTATCCAACTTTTCGAAAAAAAAATCGCATTTTTCATTTATCTAGGCATTTTAACATGGAACACTCAAAAATAGTTTTCATCGGGCAATTGGAGTCGTTCCGCAAACTTTTTTTATTTTTCTTTCTCCGTGCAGTGCAGAAAATTTTCTAAGTAAAAGATATTTTTAATTTTGGCATTCTCATTAATTCAGGGGTGAAGTGCAGAGAAAAACAAAATTTAGTAAAAAAAAAATAGTTTTCCGAAAATATATCAGAATCTCAAGGAGAAAGAGAAATTTTTTTTACAAATATTTTTCATAGAACAAAATGAGGTCTACAAATTAAACAACTGCTAAACAATTCTATTGTGAATTGGTAAACTAAAATATGTGCATTTTGCACTGAGCCAGTTATCTGTAAATATCTTGTAAATAAAGGGAGATAGCGGAATTTCCAAAAATATTTTTGCTGTAGAGAAAAACATGCTTTTATGAAAATCTCATTGTTTGTTGCTATTTAGAAAACATTTACCGAAAACTCACTAAACGAAACTCAGGCTCATGTTCGTAAGTCAATTCACAACAGAATTGAACATTGCTGCCATTGAATTCACCGGAAATTCACAACAATACCTTAGAATGTTTCGAAGATACTGTTCTGAATTGCGTGTCTTATAGAATAGTGAAATTTGGGGAGTGCCGTCAATCTCATTTGAACCATGGGTGTGTGCGAATTACTGTCCTTCGAGGAATTTCAATGAATTGGGCGAGATTTACGGTATGGGTACACAGAATTGTGAATCCTTATTTCTCTTTTGTTGCCTCCCACTATTATGCTATCCTGACAATAAAGTATTTTCCAACCATTTTCTTGGCTGTACTCTTAGAATTCTTTAATGCCTAAAGGAGGTTAGGCGGTGTTTGAGGTGAATTTGAGAGTGAATTTCTGTGGTTCCCGGTAGCTTAGTCGGTAAGAGTGCCCGGCGCGTATCTGGGAGACCCGGGTTCGATTCCCGGCTGGGTGAAGCGGAAATTTTTTCTCTCTAAATTCTAATTCTCTTAGAATTCTTTAATGCCTAAAGGAGGTTAGGCGGTGTTTGAGGTGAATTTGAGAGTGAATTTCTGTGGTTCCCGGTAGCTTAGTCGGTAAGAGTGCCCGGCTTGATAATAAACTAAACGATAAATTAAAACCTATTTCTGCTCAAGTAGATAAAAATAAGGAAAATATACAGTCAATAATGGATCACCTTAAATTATCAAAAAATGGCGACTCTTAACCCCCAAATTATCAATAATAACGAACAAGAAGTAAACCAATTAAAACTTTTGAAACTCGCCTCAATCAACGTAAATTCAATTGTAAGACAACAAAGAAGATACTTCTTACAAGAATTCTTAGAAAAAAATAACATAGATATTGCCTTTATATCAGAAACAAAATTAAACTCCAATCATAAAATAAAATTTGAGAAATATGAATTTATTAGAAATGATAGGCATAACTCCAAATTTTCCGGAGGAACGGCAATATTAATTAGAAAAAATATAAAATATACGATAATAAATTATCCCAACTCAAAAAATAATAAAATTGTAGAATATTCAATTATTAAAGTAAAAACTTCGAATTTCAGATCTTTATTTTGCATCAGTGTTTATGCCACCAATAAAGATAAGAGAAAAAATATTTTCTTCAACGAGATCAACGCACTCTTCAATGACTTGAAATTGTCCAACGATAGAGTTTATTATGTCATGATGGGAGACTTGAACTGCAGAAACACTTGCTACGGGGACTACACATCAAATGACAGAGGTAGAAATCTCAGACTCTNGATATATTAAATATATTCGGAGCACACTATCAAAGAATTAACTCTCCTCGATACCTTAATAATAATACACGATTAAAAGAATTAATAGATAATAAAATCGAAGAGTTTAAAAACAAAATGACTCAAGACGAAAATAATAATATTACAGTAACAAAATTTGACGATAATAACAAAGCAACTTCAGCAAACAACAATGCAACAATAGAAAAATATTTTACCGACATAATTACAGTAAAATTAATTTTGAAATTCCTCCCAAATAAAATTTCATCAGGAACTGACAAAATTCCACCAATAGTTATTAAACACTTACCAGAAAAAATGATAATAGACTTAACAAAAATATTTAACAATGCATTAAACAATTACTATTTTCCTAAACAATGGAAAACCGCAATTGTAATCCCAATCCATAAAAAAGGTAAAAACTTAACAGAACCGGTTAGTTATAGACCGATAAGTATGACTCCAGCTCTTAGTAAAGTCTATGAAGCAATTATTAATAATTCAATATTAACAATAACCAAATCTAAAAAAATTATCCCAGATAACCAATATGGTTTTAGACACCATCATTCCACTTTACATGCAGTCAACAAACTTTTATCAGACGTAAATGAAGCACTGTTCAACAATCAAATGGTTGGAGCAGTGCTTCTCGACTTGGAGAAAGCTTTTGATTCCGTCTGGCTAAACGGATTAATATACATCTTGATTAAAAATAATTTTCCAGAAGCCCTGATTAGAACTATCTGGAACATGATCCATGGTAAAAATTTCAAAATTATTAACCACAACAATAATTTAAGTAACATATTTAATATAACGGAGGGACTACAACAGGGGACAATCAACTCTCCATGTCTCTTCTCTATTTTTACTTCACACATGATAGACTCATTTGAATTAAACAGTAATAACAATACATTTTCAATAGCATATGCAGATGACAGAATAATATATGTTGCTGGTGATAACGGCACAGTAATAACAAATAAATTAAATAAAATAATAGATAAAGTCAACAATATGTACTCTATGTGGAATTTAAAAGTAAATCCACTGAAAAGCGAAACGATTTTATTCCGAAATTCCGTTGAAAATATGTCTAAGAAAAAGAGAAACAGCATTAAAGAATTTGAAATTAAAATAAAAAATCACACAAATAATGAAGAAACAATCATCCCAAATAGAGTAATTGTTAAATATCTTGGCATCAATATTGATAACCTAGTCAGATGCTCAGATCATTTTGATATACAAGTACAAAAAGCTAGGAATAGATATAAATCACTGGGATATCTTTTCCATAACAAAAATATAGAAAAAAGAGCGAGAGTTATCTGTTATCTGTTATTGATAAGACCACTCCTGACATATGGCTCAGAAATTTTGTGGAATTTAGGGGCCAATCAGTCGGAGATTCTGAGAGTATTTGAGAGAAACTGCATTCGTACTTGTTTATTTATGCATAGATCACATCACAGTAATTATCAACATCAAGTATCTAACAAAGTACTATACGACAAAGCAAAAATCCCTAGAATTGATAATTTTATCCTCAAATTAGCAAGAAATTATTATAACAAAATAAAAATTATTGAAAATGAAACAATTAAAAAACTTATAGAGTTCCCAGAGGCTGAGGCTATTGACCGTGCAAGATGTGGAACAGTCAAGCCCCAGTACTTCGTTATATATGATAAAAAAGGACTATTTCAAAATGAATTCAATGTTCCCATACTATACCATATTGGTAGACATAAAAGAAATAATAAAATACCTATTGATGACTTTTTAAATGGTCCTTTCAAATATTCCAGAGCAATACCAAATAACGATTCAATCGATTTTTATAGAATTAAAAAACAATATTGGTGGCTGAACAATGATGATAAATTTATTAGAGAGCTGATAGCTCGAGAACAAATACATAAAATAAATAATCCAAATACTAATTATATAAGATACAGAAATATGAGACACAATTACAGACCTCCATAAATATTAACATTCACAAAATTTTAGTTAAAAATAGAGTACAAAATATTCTAAATCTAAAAAATGAATAAAATAATATATTTATGTAAATCAAATGATTGATAGATAAATTAATGAGTCATAAAAGACCATAAAATAAACAGAAATGATATGAAATTATATTTGGCAATTTCCTGAAAAAAAAAATCAGGATACCCAATATAATAATATAATGAAAAAAAAATTAAGATATCGAAAAATTGGTAACACAATAAATTCAAGATGCGGATACATAAAAGCCCTTTTTTTACTCACAAAATAGCAATATAATGTTTTTCTTTTATTTTTTTTAAGGCTATAAAATTAATATTGTTAGCAACAAATACTGCTCAAAAATCATAATATACTGTTATCTAATTGATGAAAATAAGAATAACTAAATTTAAAAAGTTATGCGTCTTATGAATAAAGTGTAAATCTCGAGAACCATATATGGTCATAGTTTATATAAAGCCAATAATTAAACAATAATATTTTTTAAATCTAGTTTTTAATATTGTAAATTTGTACATAGTGTTGTAGGACAATAAAAACCATTGATGAAAAAAAAAAAAAGTAAGAGTGCCCGGCGCGTATCTGGAAGACCCGGGTTCGATTCCCGGCTGGGTGAAGCGGAAATTTTTTCTCTCTAAATTCTAATTCTCTTAGAATTTTTTTTTTTTTTGGTCAGTCAAAGTACAACTTTGAAAGAGGCAACATCGAAGGAGTCCTGACACTTTCGTCTGTTTCACAAAGTTAATTTCCTAATTTTATTTTAATTTGCAATTTCTTCAAAGAAGAAAATACGTGAAAATGGCAAAAACTCAACTGGATACCGAGATTAATTGGCAATGAACGGCCAGAAATTCGGGGTAATCAATTGCCATCGAACAAACAAGTGTTAGAGAGTTTTTTCCATTACATGAGACACGCTGATCCGAAATTGAATACTCGGCAAGCTGCAAAATGTGTTATTCAAAAGTGTATCTTATTCTGGGAACATGCAGGAATTCCAATCATCCAAGACTATCATGCGATTACTAAGTTGGAAAAATTAGTGAAAGAATACAGGAAGGTTTTAACGAATGGCCCTGTGCGTAGGATGACGTGTGCTAAAGCACAAGTGAGGGAAATTGACTTCAAGTGTATGTTGAATGATTTGTTTGACATCGCGTGTCAATCAAAAGTGGATGCAATGAAAAATGGAACTGCAAAAATGCTGTTGGCTCTTCACCGAGAACCGGGGAGAAAGGGTTATTTGGACCAAATCATCGATACAACAGATTAGATTCCTCCGCTTAAACACGGATATGAAAAATCGCNGCGGAAATTTTTTCTCTCTAAATTCTAATTCTCTTAGAATTTTTTTTTTTTTTTGGTCAGTCAAGCGGTGT